TTGTAGCTTTTTTATTAGCATTATTTCCTTCTCTTTTGCCAGGAATTTCACCATTAAAAAAAAATGAGAAGGGTGATTATTAAAACAGCTTTATAATTTATATTCCCATTAGAAATGTATGAATCTTTTGGACTGTTGTTGCCAGTCTGATAGGTTAAAAAATAAATTCTTAATTTTCTTTTAAGTTGTATTTCTCCAATAATGAGAAAAGTTCTTTTTCTGTGAATTATTTGTATTCTTTTTCTAATTTTCAGGAATTTCTTACATACTGGGGAAATTAACCCCTCGTGATACAATACAGTGCAAATATTTTTCTTGGTTTGTGTTTTTGAAATTGTTCATAATGGTTTTATCAGCTTGCTTTAGAGCAGCTGACAAAGTATTAACTAGGATAGGGCCCTTTCACATATTTCTAACAGGTAACTCTGACAATCATTACTCTTTTTAGTACATTTATTAATTTAATTTGGTTAAGAGAAATATCCAATTCATATTTCTGCTCATATTTCCACTCCCAGCCCAGTAAACAACAGTGGCAGTTTTATCAGTCTGGGCCTAGCCAGGAAAACAGCAGTTGTGCCACCAGATTAGGTGGATTTGATTTCGGGCCAGAGGGTGGGGAACCTGTAGTTTAGTCAACTAAAGGTAACAGACTCAGCAGAAGGAAGGGGAACAGCCTGCAGTTTTGCTAAGTAACTAGACAAAAAAAAAAAAAAAAAAGTAATAAAAAGCCAGGAGGAACATCAGCAGCCACACTGTATGGTGGCAACAGATACTAGTGTTAATTCCAGGCAAGTTACTAAAAAGAAAACAAAAATCCATAGAAAAACAAATCAGGATTCAGAGTCACTACAATATATTAATCATTGTCCAGCTTTCAGCCAAAAATTATGAGATATGCAAAGAAATAGGAAACTATAACACACATTCAGGAAAAACCGTAGAAGCCAGACTTAAAACTACACATGATACAGTTCTATTTAAATGGAACATCTAGGTAAGGTATAACTATGGAAAGCAGATTAGTGGTTGCCTAAATGTGGGGGTACAAAGGACCTTTGGGGATCATAGGAGAATTATAATACTCTATTGCATTGATGAGTGCACAACTGTATAAATTCACTAAAAATCATTCACCTATAATGAGTGAATTTTGTGATATGTAAATTATGCCTTAATAAAGCTATTAAATATGTAGGGAGAACTATTATCTTTAAAGTGACTGTTAGTGATCTTAACTTAGTGTTGTGAGTGTTTGTCTTATGTTCTGCTTTCAGATAAAAGTAAATAACCATATGTGTTTTATAAAAGCAGTTGAAGGTGACAACTTGGAGGTATTTAAGACCAGTACCTAAGTTTTATGCATAAATGAGAAATTCTTGTTAAAGTGACAATGGGCAATGCTCTTAAATTACATATTCACTTTTCTTTGAGGCATGCTGTTTGCCATCATTCATCGGTATTTTGGCTTTTTTTTTTTTTTTTTTTTTTTGATTTTATTTGACAGAGAGAGAGCGCACAAGCAGGGGGAGCAGTAGAGGGAGAGGGACTCAGAGTTCTGTCCCAGGATCCTGGGATCATGACCTAAACCAAAGGCAGATGCTTAACCCGGCTGAGCCACCCAGGTGCCCCTATTTTTGCTTGTTTTGTTAAGGAACATCCACTTTTTTTTTTTTTTTTCCCTAACCTCTCCTTTAATGCTGTTGTGATTTTTAAGTACTCCTGATAGAATAATCCCAGTGTTATTATTCTGACTTTCTTGCTGGATATTTTGGTGATTCTCACATTTTGCTGTGCTTCAGATACATCACGTGACAGGAACTCTTGTATGTGAGGAACTTGCACAAATATAAGTACATTTGTGTGAGTGTATTAGTTTAGTTGTCATACTTTAAAGGAGAAATGACACAGTTTACTCATAAAGGGTTAATTTTAAAGTTGTTTCATTTGAAATATTTTCATCATTGCACATACCACTTTAATGAAGTTGCATCCCCCATCCACCCCAAAATTACTCTTTTGTCTCAGTCTTTCCCATCTGAGTATATGGCATTGCCATCCTCCCCATTCAACCAGTCCCAAGCTAGAACCTATCTTTGATTTATCCTTCCTTTAGTTTTATTCTATCACAAATTCTGTTGATTTTTGTGTTTTTAATTTTTTTAAAATTCTTTTTATTTTTAATACTTATTTCAATTGATAGGACCACATTCCTCACCTCCACTGTTACGCTGTATTAGTCTATTGTCATTGTCTCTTGCCATACAATTCTTAATACCCTCCAATTTGTTTTCTTGCTTTTATTTAGTTTATTTCCTGAAAAGTTGTAATTCTGATCTTACTACTATCTAAATTACATTGTTAATCTGCTAAAAAATCCATCAGTGACATGACTCCTTTCTTTTCCTTAAATTTTCTCAGATTCTTTCTTGCCCTAGGGACTTGACAATGGCTGCTCTTTCTCCTCTTACACATACCTTTTCCTTGACTTGTCTTTGCTGTTTTTCTTACCTTTTAGTTCTCAACTCAAATATCAACTCTCAGAGCATAAGACATAACAGATTTTCCCCATATCTAATTGAAGAATTTTCAGCTATTGCATAAAAATTACTTTCCTTCTCTCTTTTCTTTTAGTTTCATTTACTGTCATTTATTGTCTTACTTAGTAATTCATTTAGTTTATTTTTTTCCATGTTTTCTGTTTTTGAATTAGTTTTCAGTGGTTCAGTGAATTATAATTAATTTGTCAGGTTCTTTTCCTTTAAACTAAACCTTAAATCATTTAAGTTAGTGAGTTTTTTCCCCCACAAACCTGTCTTTTGATTTGAAGTAGCTATTTCTTGATCTAAGGATCAGATGAATAGCACCCCTTCCTTTATAGATTTCTACTGATTTTGTGCCGTAAGAATAACTTACCTCATAATTTTACTTAATATTTTATTCATTTGACTTATTTTGTCACAGTGCTCTAAGAACTTTTTTTTTTGATGTCTGTAAAGTTTTAAAACATACATTTGTTTTACATGTTCAGAGATATAAAAATGAAAACTTAGCATCATGGTGGAAGTTTTTGTCTCTGTTCTTGCTTTTGATTCATCTGACTTTGGCTGGAAAATAATTTGCATGAATTAATCCCTTTAACAAATAGCTCTGGAGGTGGTTTACGTATTTTTACACATCTGGAAATGAATTTCTGCTGCTTTAAACATGAATAAAAATATGATAGAGTGTAGAATCCTTGTGCTACAGCTCTTTTTCCCTTAGAACTCTATAGTAATTATCCTGTTACCCTCAGGCATTTCACAGTGAGAGGGAAAAATAGGGCCATCTTGATTTTTTTTTTTTTTAAGATTTTATTTATTTATTTGTCAGAGCGAAAGAGGGAGAGAGAGCGAGCACAGGCAGACAGAATGGCAGGCAGAGTCAGAGGGAGAAGCAGGCTCCCTGCCGAGCAAGGAGTCCGATGTGGGACTCGATCCCAGGAGCTGGGATCATGACCTGGGCCGAAGGCAGCTGCTCAACCAACCTAGCCACCCAGGCGTCCCAGGGCCATCTTGATTTTTGTCCCTTTAAAGGAACACATGTATACTTGTAACATTTTCTTTCTCATTTTGAATTTCACAGAAATATATCTCAGTGGTAGTTTTGTATTTTTATTGTTTATTTCTGGTGCAGATTTTTAATGTGCTTCTTCATTTGTACTTCTAAATTGTTTTTATATCTTTTATAGGTCCTTTTGTTTCTGTGCATCTTTCCAATAGCTTTCTTCCATCTTTGTTTTCTTGTTTCATACTACGGTTTCATTGTAGACACAGAACAAATATTTTCTTACGAATTTTGGATGATGTGCCTATGTTTGAATGTAATCTTCAAACACCCCCACCCACACACCTACAAACTACACTTAGATCCTCTTGAGTTCCGCTTTTCTTTTATAGACTTTACACGTTGCAAAGAATCATCCTTTAGTCACTAATATCCTGGCAAGATTAGGCTGAATTAATTATGTGTCTAAATGAATGTAGTAAGACAGCAGCTAACTAGGAGGAAATTTTATGATAAGTACATATTATCTGGTAGGGGACACTCTGGGACACAATCTTCAACAGAGACCTGTTTATCTGAGATATTGGTAGACTTCTGTGGAAATCTGTGTTATTCTTCACATAAAATATTGCTTGTTAGTTTCTACTCTTGTGTTTTGACCAAAACTTAGACAGATGAGTGACTAATATTTGTAGTTTTCAGGACTGCTCTAACTTCGCAATCCTTTTGATATATCAGAAGATAAAGGTGAATCAGATATTAGTTGACACTTGAATAACATGGGTTTGAATGTGCAGGTCAACTTATATGAAGATTTTTTTCAATAAATACTGTACAGTAAATGCATTTTCTTTATGATTTTCTTAATAACTTTTTTCTCTAGCTTTATTGTAAAGATACAGTATATAACATATGTAAAATATGTGTTACTCAAGTGTTATCAGTAAGACTTCTGGTCAACAGTAGGCTATTAGTAGTTAAGTTTCTGGGGAGGCAAAAGTGATATGTACATTTTTGACTGCCAGGAGGTTCAGTGCTCCTAACCCCTACCTTGTTCAAGGCTCAATCATAATGTTATCAGTAAGCATCCATGTTATTTTGTGATTTTATGTTTATACTCTTACTATTAAACTATATGTTATTTTTTGCTTTGTGGTATTTTGATAAGTATACCTTTATAAAATAATATCTGTAAGCATTAAGTTTGTTTAGATTTTAAGTGTTACATGTTACAAAATGTTTTGATTTTTTTCTTTTTTAATTATTGATATAATGAAATCCTTGCACGTTCCCTCATAATCAAATTTGGGAAACTAATTGTCTTATGACTTTAAATACTCCCTCTTGATTCAGTCAAACCTTTTGATCAGTAAATGGAACTTCTTTTCTTTGTAGTAAAGTATTTATCTGTGTGGGATATTGCATAAATCTTGGAAGACTGCAGTAAAGTGGCAATGTCTCGGGAACCCAGCCCACCTCTCCCTGGAGATATGTCTACTGGTCCTATAGCAGAAAGCTGGTGTTATACACAGGTACATGCTATTAAAAATGCCTTACTTTATATCACTTAAAAATTTTATAGTATTTTGAAAATATTGTAAAGCATTTTGTTAGAGTTACTACAGGTGTTAAAAAAGTAGGTCATGGGATTTTAACGTGACAAGTTAAAAGCAAAAAAAGTCATCATTATAAAAGTGGTTTTCTGAATCTCTTAGGTTAAAGTAGTAAAATTTTCCTACATGTGGACCATTAATAACTTCAGTTTTTGTCGAGAGGAAATGGGTGAAGTGTTAAAAAGTTCAACATTCTCATCTAGCCCCAGTGACAAAATGAAATGGTAAGATTTTTGTTTTGAATTTTTGTTTTTGATATTATCAGCTACTTTATGGTTTTGTTACTGTTTCTTAATGGATTATATTAGATTTATAATAAGTTCCTAATAGTGTAGAGAATTATAAAGAACTGGAGATATTTAATAGGAGTGCTATTTGTGAGATTTAACAACTAATTTCAGCATTGCCTCTCTCTTTTTTGAATGTTTTAAGTTTTATATTCCTCCATATGAGCTTGTTGTTTTATTTTAGGTGCCTGAGGGTAAATCCAAAGGGATTAGATGATGAAAGTAAAGACTACTTGTCCTTATATTTGCTTTTAGTCAGCTGCCCAAAAAGTGAAGTTCGAGCAAAATTCAAATTTTCCCTTCTAAACGCCAAAAGGGAAGAAACAAAAGCAATGGGTAAGTGGTTTGGAGTAAAGTCTCTGAGTAACTATGTGTTAACTTATGTACTTTTGCCTAGAAAAGGATATATTTTTTTTCCCCACTGAAATCTGCTTAACCTCAAACATGCCATGTAGCCATTGTTTAATTTTAAATGCTGGTCTGGACTTACTGTTATTTCAATGAATCTTAGACTTCATAAGACATGTAAAATTTGTTAAAAATAATATTAAAATTCTACTTTTCATGTCCTAAAACAATATTTACTTGTCACTTAGAAAAATAGTTGCTTTTAGGGCATGGTGCCTGCTTCAATTCCTGGCAAATATAATTGGTGTTCAGGAAATAGTTCTCCTTTGCTGTTTTTCCAAATAATAAAATCTGAGGAACAATGTGAAAGGAGATTGAATGTTCTGGTATTCTGTCACTAGAATTTTTTTTGAGGGATGGACTGAACACTGACCAAAAGGAAATCAGTTTTTCTTAGTCTCAGGGCCTATTAAGTTCATTTCAAAGCTTCATGTATATAGCCAACTGAAACTCTTCATGATAGAAGAGCATTGTAGGAAATGTATAGTATGCATAGTAGGAAAATATATCATGAACTGCCACATTAATTTTTTTTTAAATTTTATGTGATTTCTAGAAGTGAATCATAGAATCAAGTAATATCATTACCAAAAATAAAAAATAAAAAAACCTTCCTCCAGATAAAATTTTAAATAATATCTTTTATTGCCAAAATAATACATAGCTTTATATATATTTTCCTCATGTCTGACATTTATGGTAGTGGAGTGTCTTGGTTGAGGCTGCTATAACAAAGTACCATAATAAACAACAGACATTGGCTTCTCACAGATCTGAAGGCTGAAAGTTCAAGATGAGAGTGCCAGCATGGTCAAGTTCTGGTGAAGACCATCTTCTGGGTTGTAGACTGCTAAATTCTCACTGTCTTTATATGGCTGATGGAACTAGGGAGCTTTGTGGAGTCTCCTTTTTAAGAGCACTAATCACATTCATGACGTCTCTACCCTCATGAACTCATCTAATTCTAATCACTGACCTCCTAATACCATCCTTCAGGGGCATGTGATCACAACATAAGGATTTTGAGGGGATACAAACATTCAGTCCATAATGTGGAGTCTATTAGATTTATTACTTGTTTTTCACCTCTAGTTAATACTTTCTGTAACAGATTGTAAATACTTTCTACTGAGGATCTTGTTTATTTTATAATACACAATTCTGTAGTATGCTAGGCATTTGAAACATCTATCTCAGACATTATTGGTTGTCTTTTAAAAATTGTACTAAAATCATCTTTTAGCCTTCATGAAAGTTGTTTTTAGGGATGAGGGGATAGATCTAGGAGTGATAAGAGACTTTGTTTTGTTTGATGGATCTTTCTCTAGTTGAGTAAAACTTAAATTAGTGGGATAGATGCCCCAGGAACGTTAAAGGATGCCCTGGTGATACAGAGCATCCATTTTTAGAGGGAGAAGCAAGAAATGAGGGGTATGTGTCTATAATCAGGTTTTGATGAGGAGGAATATGGCTATGCCAGTGTATTTTGTTCCTCCTCCATTATTCAAGGGCCCGCACTGTTAGAGAGATGTCTTCCTTCTCCAAGAGTTTTGATATGGCTTTTCTTAGAGATGCAGAAATCTGAATGTGAGCTGATTGATGGTGGCCAGAATTTGAATTCTGCTGTGAAACAATCTTGTCCTATGTGATATAACTCTTAAGACATTTCATTTATGAACACATACATCTATAATTCTTATAATGGATATATTGGCCAAGTTTTATTTTTGTGCATTCATTTAACTGTGTTATCAATTAGATGATTTTTTTATTTAAACTTCTATTCTGTTTTCCACCAGAAAGCCAAAGAGCATATCGGTTTGTACAAGGGAAAGACTGGGGTTTTAAAAAATTCATTCGAAGAGATTTTTTGCTTGATGAAGCTAATGGTCTTTTACCAGACGACAAGCTTACATTATTTTGTGAGGTGGGTATATTTTTTATTTCAAGGAACTCCAAAGTTATATCTCATGATAAACAAAAATAGAAAGTAGAACAATATTGGGTATACTTTTTTAAATTTAGCGTATATTTTTAAAATTAAGTAATTGGTATAATTGATAAGGTTTCATTTGTAAGTGTTTTACCAGTAAGACTAGATTGTTTCAGAAATCAGTGTAGTAAGTAGCTCATCCTGAAAAAACTGTCATGTGTATATCTATAAATTACATATGGTAGTTATACTACCACATACTAAATACTTCTTCCTCCTAGGAAGACTATGGATATGTATATCTTTTTATGAAAATGTGTAAGTATGTTCTTCATTCTGAATAATTCTAACATAGATGTTCGTCATTTTTTTGTCATTTTCAGGTCGACCATATTAAACATGATGAGTAGTATATCAATTTGAATACATACTGAAATAGATACATACATAATGAAAGTGCCTGAAAAAATTGGGAAGCTTTTTGTTTATTCAGACATTTGGATTCATTTAATTAAATAGATGTTAGCATTATAAGAAATAGCATCCCAAATTTTTAAAATTTGCCCGTGTCTGTTCACAAATTTGCGAGGTATATTTATTTGTATAAAATGTCATATTTTAACAGTTACCAGCATAGCCCCTGTAATAATTTACACCTATGATTTGTCTTAATTTGAGGCTGGAATTTGCTTTTTTCATTGTTACCATTACATGGTTTTACTCATACAAATTGTTGAGATTACTCTTTGGAGTGAATTCAAGGATTATGTTATGTTACCAATACAGTTTATAGAGAATATACATAGTTTTATCAAAATGTTTAAGGTAGTTGATAATTTTCATAGGAAAACTGATTGAAAAGTTATGATCAAGTAAACTCAGTGTTAAATATATTTCAGACCAATGAGTGTCTTGGAAGTATGGTAACTTACTTTAACAGCTATAAAATTAGCCTTAATCTCATTGTAAGAATATGTAGAATTTCTTGGCAACATTATAAACTAATTGTATGATTTTATGCTGTGTCAGAAAAATAATTGAAATGTGGCTCTAGAGACTACATAATGCAAATACAGTGCATCTTATTTTCACTTAGGCAAGTTAAATGAACTGTAGGATGAATTTGTTATGAATATAATTATTTGGTTGGTAAAGCGCATACCACTAGTGTCTTCAGCAGAGTTTATCATTAAATAATTTGTAAAACAAATACTAAAGCATTTGTTGCCAATAGACATATATTCAGAGTAATATTTTAAATAAATACAGGTTATATTATTTTAAAATTTTAGCATCCTTAATGTAGACTCTTTCAGAATTTTAGCAGTTATCTTAAATTCCAACATGTTAAATTTTTTAAGTCATATAATCTTTGAATTTAAAGGACCTTAAAAAGTTATGTAATCCAGTTTCAAAAATTTATTGCAGTTAAAAGTCTTTATGTAAATAAGCTCTTTTAAGAAAATAATTTCTTTTTGTTGTTGTTAGAATTCAAATAGTGTTAACAGATATTTTCCTAAGCATATTATATTGGAACCTAGTCAACCAAGAAATTCAGAATGAAGGCTGAAATTAAGATCTTTTTTCAATATATACTTTTGAAGTATGTTTTTTATCCACCTACTAGTGAACTCCTAAAAATATAACCCACCATGACTTGTAAGTTGGCATTGGTTAGATTCAGTTTTGGATAGTTGTAATATGTACCTTTTTACTGATGTAGAGACTTATACTCTGGGCACTGTATTTAACATCGGTGGGCAGAAAGTAATTTGAACGAACATTCCTCATGCCCTCCACCATTTCTTCCATACCTCTCATTGATGCCCTTCCTTCTACAGCACCTTCAGCACTGCTTGCAGAAGAGGAGGAAGCATTGCACTGCCCTACCTAAAGAACTGCCTCCTCCCCCTCCCCTGCAAGTGGTGCTGTAGACAGGTAAGGCAGTTTGGTGCTACCCTTTTTCTGCAAGACCTAACTTCATCTTGCAACTTCCATATCATGAATCAAGTAGCCAGAGGTAGATATTTCTAGCAGTGTAAAGATCTCTGCCCCTTCTCTCCCTCCCAAAATGATGCAGAAAACAAGACTTGAGGAATATGTTTGAAAATAGAAAACTGTTTAGATTAGTCCATCTTTTTAAATCCAATAGATTTTTTTTTTAAAGATTTTATTTATTTGACAGAGAGAGAGATCAGAAGTAGGCAGAGAGGCAGGCAGAGAGAGAGGGGGAAGCAGGCTCCCTGCTGAGCAGAGAGCCTGATGCGGGGCTTGATCCCAGGACCCCGAGATCATGACCGGAGCTAAAGGCAGAGGCTTAACCCACTGAGTCACCCAGGCACCCAGTCCAATAGATTTTAAACTTCATAGTTTATAGACCCATAGTATTCCATGATTGCAGAAGATTATGTATATACAGATAGAATATATGTATGTATTGAGTTTTTCTTGAAGTTAATTCATTTAGAAGGATACACCGTTTTTCCCATCCTATCTTTTTGTTGCTAAGTTATCACTTCTGTTTTAAAATATTTGTGGTAATGGATGGAAGTTAGGTTTTATTCTTTAAAAGCCCTTTTATGGGGGCACCTGGGTGGCTCAGTGGGTTAAAGCCTCTGCCTTCGGCTCAGGTCATGATCCCCAGGTCCTGGGATCCAGCCCCGCATCGTGCTCTCTGCTCAGCAGGGAGCTTGCTTTCCCCTCTCTCTCTGCCTGCCTCTCTGCCTACCTGTGATCTCTTGTCTGTCAAATAAATAAATAAAATCTTAAAAAAAATTAAAATTAAAAAAAAAAAAGCCCTTTTATGACAAAATGACAGCCTTGTTTCTGTCAACCAAATTTTTAAGAAGGATACCTATCCAGGACAGTCAGAAAGTCTAAGATCGGCTATTTTAGAAAATGTGAAATTGGACTATCGAAAGTTTCTTACTGTGGAGCCACTGTGAGGGATCATTAGATAGTTGATTAAGAGTGGCAAAATTTGTACTATGAAGAACCATTGTAAATTCCTAGCTTTTAAAACTAGTTTGGAGAATTGAGATTTTTTAAAACTGAAAACATAAGTCCTTCAGTTGACACTATGGGAGACCCAGGTTTCTAGGGTAGTCACAGTTGATTAGAATTTGTACATGTTCATCTTTAGTCTAAATCCTAATTCTCACAATTGAGCTAAAACCAAACTTGAAGGAGTTTTCAGATGTGTTTCATGTTTTGCTTTGCAGCATTTGTCAGTTTTGAATATTATAAGTTTGCCTTTTTATTTTGAAAGAACAACAATTTAGCCATAGGAAAGAATCTCAGACTTTTTTCTGAATTTTTTACTCTAGGTTCCATTCAGTAAGAATGTTCATTACCTGTGTTTGAATATGTGCTAGAGAAAACTAAATGTTACCAACTTCTTAATTATAGGTATCAAGAAAATAATCAGATTTTATTCTGTTAATTCTGTTAATAGTTGTTAATTTTTGCTGCATAATATATCTTGAATATACCTTGAATATGTGAAATTGGACTATTGAAAGTTTCTCACTGTGGAGCCACTGTGAGGGATCGTTAGATAGTTGATTCAGAGTGGCAAAATTTGAATATACCTTGAATATGCCTTGAAGTATGAAATCTTAATTAAGTCTTAGTTAAAATTTGTGGTCGCCATGATGATACTGTGTAGGTGAATGTTAATAATACAACTTCTGAATTATGATTACTTATACAAAATAAAAATGAAACATTATCAATATCTGTGCCTCATAAAAATAGCTTTATTTTTTCATTTTATTTTTTCTGTCACCTGATTTTGGCCAAATTTTTATATTTAGTATATTATTTTGAGTTAGGATAATAGACAATAAATAAAATTTTAAAAATCCTTTCCTAAATTATGTTGTCACATTTTTATGACTTGACTGCATACTTTATGCAAGTAATTGAACTAGTCCACTTCTACTGTCTAGAAATTTTTAAGAGCAGAGCTTGATAGGAAGAAGTAAATATTGTTTATGTGAGAAAAAAGTGATCTCTAACTAAACCCTGAGTATCAACACCAGCATTTTTTAAGTATCATTAAGTTATAGTGGGTGGCAAAACAGGATAATTAGGTAGGGATTAGTGAAGTTCTTTTTTTCTTTTTTGTAGTCATTTTAGAAACAATTTAGAAGTTTAAACAATTAACAGAATAAAGAACCTTTATTGTTGGATTTCATGTATTTATGTATGTATGTACATACACAATATTGGCTCCTATATGTAGAAAATCATCTCACACTGTTTTTGCAATAAATCCTTTTTGAACCATAGTTGCATTAAAGTAGCACTACTGATTTTAAAAGATATCCAAAGAAGTATTTGTGTAGTACAAAGAATGGTCTAAAAACAAAAGTATCTTGAGAATTATAGTCTCTAGTCTTCCTTTGATACTGATTGCTAGTGGGATTGACACATTAGTTACCTTCTTTGATCTTCCTTTGAAGTCTTTCTATAAAACAAGGTGATTAAATAAGATGATTTCTATGATATACAGGATTCCAAATAGTTAATAATACAAGTTGTAAAATCAAAATGGCTAATAAAAATATCCTCAGAAAAATAAAATTTTTCTCTAGAAGTATCTATTTATTCGCATGTGATACATGTTTTTATACATCAGGATGAAGGAGGACTTCCTGAGAGTTAATATTCTTCAAACATTTTATACTGGGCCAATATTACATGTTCTGTGTTAGCTAACAAATGACCACAAAATTTAGAAGCTTAAAACAGTAGATAACTAACACGTAGCACTAATGCACTAATGGTTCATTTACTCTGAAATATTTGCTTTACTAATTGACTGGTATTTTCTTCCACTTATTAAATGTAATATGAAATTTCTAATATTAGTAACATACTTTTTCTAAAAAGTCATGCACAAGAATCAATGGTCTTTTAAGATTTTTCGGTATATAGTTATCTTTAAAGAGAGAAAATTTAATCCAATTATATTGAAATCTTTATAAAAGCAGTGTTTTAATCATACTAACTTTCATTTATTATTTCATAGATAAACAGAAGGTTACAGATTGAACTAAATTGTATTTGTATTATTCTTACTGTTGATTATATTAAAAGATTTCCATGAATTTTAATGAGCACAATTGCTTTTGTGAGAATTCTTGTACTTTACAATTTAAATCAATATTACTAGATATTTAAATCAATTTTACTAGAGTCAAAACATGTAGGAATTACACTTAAAATACTTCAGAAATTGCATGTCATACACTGTAGTTGTATAACCTTTTTTAATACTCTAAAAAGTCCTTTTGAGTGTGATGCCATTATACATTATTATACATTATTATACATTATTACATGTATAATAAACTTTAAATGTTGATAGGTCTTTGGTGTAAGTGAGAAAAATTAAAGAAATTTCTTCCTTCATCTCTCAGAAATGTCTCCTGCTTGTTCAGTTCGCCCTCATCTTAATGACTTTTATTTTCCTGAGAAATAGTTTTTGTGATTAATTTAATGACCAAGCATTCCAACCAATCGATAAGTCATCTATTTACATAAAATGTCACTTGAAAATGATCTAGTGTTTCTGATCTTTTTCTAGTCTCTCCTTTAAATTGTATCCTTAAATTTAGTTCCCAGTATTAACATTTATGATCAGGAGTACTTTGAATTATCCAGATGATTTTAATGATAAGAAATCTAAGTATAGACTTAATTACTGATACTAATTTATAAAAGTGTTTTTCTTGCTGTCCCTTTTTTATTAGGTGAGTGTGGTCCAAGATTCAGTAAATATATCAGGACATACTAATACAAATACTTTGAAGGTGCCTGAATGTCGACTAGCAGAAGATTTAGGTAATCTCTGGGAAAACACAAGATTTACAGATTGCAGTTTTTTTGTGAGAGGACAAGAATTTAAAGCTCATAAATCTGTACTTGCAGGTACTTTCAACTTTTGGGCAATATTGTACATTTTTTCCATACATCTGTGCATTAAATAATGATGCTTAATCTTGTTACAGCTCGATCCCCAGTTTTTAATGCAATGTTTGAACATGAAATGGAAGAAAGCAAAAAGGTAAACATAGTTTAAAGGCTAATATTTAATTTATGCTAATGTAGAATAGTGAAATGTATGTTTTGAAAGTAACGGTTCATGTTCTCATTGTTACATTATGATTTTAGAAATAGGGGAATAGGGAAAAAATAGGGGAAAAAATGGTCTGTAGTAGAACAATAGATGTAGCCTAATGTGGGTGAATATTCCAAATAATAGCTATTTTGATGTCCATCTGGTGGCAAAATAAGTGGGTAGTTCTTATCCGAAAGAGTGGTTCTGGTCCATAGCTATTTGAGAGCTCTGGTTAAGATGTTTATTCTTTTCTAAACTATCTGTTGATTTTGGAATTCTGCATTCTTTTTACCACTAAAATAAGATATTTATTAGATTTTTTTAAAAATGACATAAATTACATCAGTGTTACTGTATGTCTACGGTAACCAGTATCTCTTTGGATTTCCCAAATGTTTGTCCTTCACTGTTGTCTTAAAATGTAGTCAGATTAAAGATCAGAAATTGATTCTTTGCTGGTTACATTACATAGCAGCCTTCACGCTCTAACTAGATAACTCCAAAGTTGATTTATATGGCTCTCCTTCATTTTTTCTGTAGAACTAAAGGCTGCAGCAAATAGCTGCTTTCTTTCCTTGGAGTGTTGTTCTGCCAGATACTATGATTAGCTTTCTGATGACTTCCACACAAGGAAACATGAATAATGTCAAATATTATTGTCAGCAAAGGGTCAGAAAAGTCTGGTATGGTTTAGTGTTGGATGTTTAGCTTCATTGATCCCTTGAGAGAAATCAGATACAAAGATGTAGGAATAAAAAGGGGATTACTGCTCAAAAAAGGTGGGGGAGGTGGGGAATTACTGCTCATTGGACTTGAGTATGTTTTGAGCAAAGAGGTGATATGCCCGTAGATAGTATGACACGTCATTTTTGCAAAAGGGAAAGTTCCAAGGTATTGGCTGTGGAATTATATGAAATACCTGACCCTGCTTTTGCTTAGTGCTAGGAATAGCACCATTGGTTTTGGGGTCATAGGCATTGTGCTACGACCTTGGAATTCAACAAAGAAAAAATTAATAGCTGTCTTCTTCTAAGAGAGAGGTTAAAAACTGAACACACATATTTTGTTTGGCCTAAAGGCTTTTGTTTGTTTTTTTACTCTTTTTTAATTGAAAAATTGAGGTTTTATGTACCTACATGGTAGTACTTGTCTGGGTATACTTCTGTTAGACCTGCTTGCTTCACTTTGCCTGCTTAGCTTACTGAAGATTTACTTATCTCCATTTAAAGTAGAGTTTAAAATAGAGCACTTGGGTGCAGATTTAGTTAAATTATTAATCAAAGTTTTGCTTTGGTTCATTTGTGCGTGTATATGTTCTTTGAGTGTAACTTTTTTATGTTGTTTTCAATATCAGAATCGAGTGGAAATAAATGATGTAGACCCTGAGGTTTTTAAAGAAATGATGAGATTCATTTACACAGGGAAAGCACCAAACCTTGACAAAATGGCTGACAACTTGTTGGCAGCTGCAGACAAAGTAAGTAATTAGGTCTTAAAAAGCTGAAAATCTCCTCAACTTGTTGTATCTAGAAAGCTATCATCAAAGAAAAACTCCAAATAACTTAAAATATTGAAGAATTAATTTATACTATTTATAGATGGCTCTTGAGCATATTATGAAATAGACAGTGAAGATAATATGGAAATTAGATTTTTTTAAATCAATAAGGCATCAAAATATCTTGAACTAGTTTGAATATATAAATAAAATAATAAGATAAAAAAGAAGAAAATATTGGATTTTTTTCCTAACTTAATTCCCTGTACTTAGACATTTATTTTTTAACATGATAGCACAGAAAGAGAAAAAAAATGTTAATGTTACAATGTTCTTTAGTGAGATTTTTGTAAGATTTTGTAAGGTGATTTTTTTTTTTTAAAGAAAATTTATGTATTTATTAGAAAGAGAGAATATGCCCATGAGTGGTGTGGGGAGAGGGGGGAGAAGCAGACTCTCCACTGAGCAGGAGCCTAACATGAGACTTGATCCCAGGACCCCGAGATCATGACCCAAGCTGAAGTCAGATGCCCAAACAATTGAGCCACCCAGGTGCCCCTATAATGGTGATTTCTTAAAGTTTGAGAATCAATGCAAAAATGCCAGAAAATCTCAAATCCAGTAGTTCTCAATCCTGAAGGACATCGGGAGGTTTTTCTGAAAAGTATTGATGTTCATGCCACTTGTATCTATGTATATAATATGTAAGTTTATGCATACGCCTATGTGTGTGAATATGTGCATGTATATATACGTACATATATACACATATACAGACAGAAGGAAAGAGAGAGTATGTGATATTGTACTTTTTTTTTTCTTTTTAAGATTTTATTTATTTATCTGATAGAGAGTACAAACTGGGGGAATGGCAGAGAGAGAGGGAGAAGCAGGCTCCTCGCTGAGCAGGGAGCCCAACCTGGGGCTCAATCCCTGGACCCTGGGATCATGATCCAAGCTGAAGGCAGACGTTTAACCAACTTAGCCACCGAGGCACCCCAATATTGTACTTGTTTTATAAAATATTACCAGCGGGGCCATTACTAGGCCAAATATGTATAGAATCTGCTATTTCTTTTATTCCCCCAAGTTGTTATTTAAATTTTTGTTAGTTAGCATACAGTGTAATATTAGTTTCAGGTGTACAACATGATGATTCAGCAATTCCATATATCACCTGGTGCTCGACACAAGTGCCCTCCTTTATTCTCATCATCCATTTAACCCATCCCCCCCATCTACTTCCCTTCTGGTAGCCAGTTTATTCTCCATAGTTAAGACTGTTTCTTGATTTGCCTCTCTCTGTTGTTGTTTTTTTTTTCTCTCTTTGCTCATTTGTTTTGTTTCTTAAATTCCACATATAAGTGAAATCATACGGTATTTGTTTTTTTCACTTAGCATAGTATTCTCTGGCCCCATTCATGTCACTGCAAATGGCAGGATTTCTTTTTTTTTTTGGCTGAGTAATATTCCATTCTGTATATATCACAACTTCATTACCCATTCATCCGTCAATGGACACTTGGGCTATTTTCTTAAATTGACTATTCTTGATAATGCTGCCATAAACGTCAGGGTGCATGTATTCCTTTGAGTCAGTATTTTTGTATTTTCTATTTTTAACTTTTTGAGGAACTTCCATACTGTTTTCCAAAGTGTCTCTACCAGTTTGTATTCCCACCAACAGTGCAAGAGAGTTCCTGTTTCTCCACATCTTCACCAGCACCTCTTGTTTCTTACATTGTTGATTTTAGCCATTCTGACAAATGTGAGGTGATACCTCATTTCAGTTTTGATTTGAATTTCCCTGATAATGAGTGATGTTGAGCATCTTTTAATTGGTCTGTTGGCCATCTGGATGTCTTTAGAAAAATGTCTGTGTCTTCTGCCCATTTTTAAATTTATAAGTTCTTAAATTTATAAGGTCTTCATATATTTTGTATATTAACCTCTTACTGGATATATCATTTGCAGATATCTTCTCCCATTCTGTAGGTTGCCTTTTAGTTTTGTGGATTGTTTCATTTGCTTTCAGAAGCTTTTTATTTTGATGAAGACCCAATACTTTACTTTTGCTTTTGTTTCCTTTGTGTTAGGAGACATATGCAGAAGGAAGTTGCTACAGCCAATGTCAAAGAGGTTACTGCCTGTGTTCTCTTCAAGGATTTTTGTAGTTTCAGGTCTTGCATTTAGGTCTTGCATTTTGAATTTATTTTTGTGTATGGTATAAGCTAGTGGTCCGGTTTCATTCTTTTGCATGTTGCTGTCCAGTTTTCCCAACACAGTTTGTTGAAGAGGCAGTCTTTTTCCCATTGGATGTTCTTTCATGCTTTGTTGAACATCAGTTGATATATGATTGTGGATATATTTTTGGATTTTCTATTCTGTTCCATTGTTCTTTGTGTCTGTTTTTGTGCCAGTACCATACTTCTTTGATTATTACAGCTTTGTAATACAACTTGAAGTCCAGAATTGTGATGCCTCCAGCTTTGCTTTTCTGTTTCAAGGTTGCTTTGGCTATTCAGGGTCTCTTGTAGTCCTATATTAGTTTTATGATTGATTGTTCTAGCTCACCAGGGAACGCTATTGATATTTTGGTAGGGATTGCATTAAATGTGTAGATTGCTTTGGGTAATAAAACATTTTAACAATATTTGTTCTTCCAGTCCATGAGCATGGAATATATTTCCATTTCTTTGTGCCATCCTAAGTTTTTTCATTAGTGCTTTACATTCTTCAGAGTACAGGTCTTTCACCTCTTCGGTTAGGTTTATTCCGAAGTATCTTATCGTTTTTGGTGCAGTTGTAAATGACATTGATTCCTTAATTTCTCCTTCTGCCGCTTCATTATTGGTATATAGAAATACAACATATGGTTGTATGATGATTTTGTATCCTGAGACTTGACTTAATTCATGCATCAGTTCTAGCAGTTTCTTGGTGGAGTCCCATCTTCTGCAAATAGGGAAAGTTTTACTACTTCCTTGCCGATTTGGATGCCTTTTAATTTTTGTTGTTGTCGTCTCCTTGCCATGGCTGAAACTTCCAGTACTATGTTAGTGAGACTAGACATCCTTGTCTTCTTGTTCCTTAACATAGGGAAAGTCTCTCGGTTTTTCCCCCAGTGAGGAGGATATTAGCTGTGGGGTTTTTATATATGGTCATTGTATGTTGAGATGTGTTGCCTTTAAACCTAATTTGTTAAGGGTTTTTGTCAGGAATGGATTTTGTACTTTGTCAATTATCTTTTCTGCACCTATTGAAATGATCATATGGTTCTTATCCTTTTCTTTTATTAATGTGATCTGTCATGTTGATAGATTTATGAATACTGAACCAAACTTGCGGCTCAGGAATAAATTCCACTTGATTGTGGTGAATGATTTTTTTAATGTATTGTTGGATTCAGTTTACTAGGATTTTCATATCTGTATTCATCAGGGATATTGACCTGCAGTACTCCTTTTTAGCGGTGTCTTCATCTGGTTTTGGTATCGGTAATATTGGCCTCATAGAATGAAAGTGGAAGTTTTCCTTCTTTTTCTGTTTTTTAGAATAGTTTGAGAAGAATAGGTATTAACTCTTCTTTGAATGGTTGGTAGAATTTGCCTGTGAAGCCATCTATCTAATCCTGGACTTTTGTTGTTAGGAGTTTTTTGATTACTGATTCAGTTTCTTTGCTGGTTATCAGTCTTTTCAACTTTTCTATTTATTCCTGTTTTTGTTTTGGTGATTTATATGTGTCTGGGAATTTATCCATTTTTTTCTAGGTTGTCCAATTTGTTGCGCATATAGTTTTTCATAATACTCTCTTATAATCGTTTGTATTTCTGTGGTGTTGGTTGTTATTTCTTCTCTCTTTGTGATTTTATTTATTTGGGTCCTTTCTCTTCTTTTTTGATAAGTCTAGCTGGAGGTTTATCAATCCTATTAATTTTCCCCAACTCCTGGTTTCATCAGTCTGTTCTGTTAGGTTTTTTTGTTTTTTTTGTGTATGTGTTTGGTTCCATTTTTAGTTTCTGTATCATTTATTTCTGCTTTAGCCTTTATTATTTCCTTCCTTCTGCTGGCTTTAGCCTTTGTTCTTTAGCTCCTTCAGGTGAAAAGTTTAAGCTTGAGATTTTTCTTGCTTCTTAAGGTATGCCTGTTCCATCTTAGGACTGCTTTTGCTGCATCCCAAAGGTTTTAAACCATAGTGTTTTCACTTTTGTTTCCATGTATTTTTTTTTTTAAATTTCGTTTTTGATTTCTTGCTTGACCCATTATTGTTTAATAGCATGTTATTTAACATCCTGTATTTGTGGTCTTCCCAGATTTTTTTCTTGTGGTTGACTTGTAGTTTCATAGCATTGTGGTCAAAAAAGGTGTTTTGGATGATTTTAGTTTTCTTGTATTTGTTAATGGCTCTTTGTGGGCTAATTTGTGATTATTCAATTGTTATATCTTGTTGGATTATCCCCTTTATTATGGTACAGTGTCCTTTGTCTCTTGTTACAGTCTTTGTTTTAAAGTCTAGTTTTTTTTATATAATTATCACTACTCTGGCTTTCTTTTGACATTCATTTGCATGTTAATTTTCTCCATCCCCTCATTTTCAATCTGCAGGTATCTTTAGATCTCAAATGAATCTTTTATAGGCAGCATATATGGGTCTTATTTTTTTAATCCATTCTGACACTCTATGTCTTTTGATTAGAGTATTTAGTCCATTTACATTCAAAGCAGTTATTAATAGCTATGTATTTATTGCCATTTTATTACTTGTTCTGCCATAGTTTAGAGATTTTTTTCTGATCCTTTCTTGTTTTTGTTACTTTTGGACTCTCCTTTGCAGTCAAAGTACCCTTTAATATTTTTTGCAAGGGCCGGTCTAGTGATTAAGAACTCCTTTAGTTTTGTTTTTCTGGAAGCTCTTACTCTCTCCTATTCTGAATGAAAGCCTTGCTGGATTGACTGTTCGTGGCTACGGATTTTTCCCA